TGAAGCGAAACTATCCTTCTGGTCACGAAAAGAGGAAGAAGAAAAAAAACATGAGAGTGAATTGCGGGAACAACAATCAGGTAAACTTGTGTTCTCTCCTCTCTAAGTTTGATGTCAGCAAAGTTTGATGTTTTTCGGTCTTGCTAACCTAGCTGGGCAGGCAGTGCATCTCTTGCATCACTTTGTGGCTGACAAAAGTGAGAGTAAAATACAATTATTTATTACGTTTGTTTTTGATAAACGACAAAGTGCAACGGTGTTTGTTTACTGCAGCTCGGAAAACATAACCGCGTCGCGTGTGTTATCGTGCGTTCAAATGCGCGTGCATGAAATGAAACTCGCATTTTTCAAGCAGAAATATGTGGAGACCAGACATACTGTACAATACATGCACGTGAATGATGGCACTCCCAATCAAAGTACACATTATAAAACAAGACACTGATTATCTAGTCTCAGTGTAGTTAAAAACTCTAAACAACTGCACTAATTATGCAAGATAGAAAGCAATGTATTGACAATTTGACATTGATTGACTATTGATTTATAGGCTATATTGAATTTAAAATGTTGATTAGCTGGACATACTGGTCAATATGGATGCACATCCCTCAGTAAATAATAACCATAAATCAAGAATTGCTTCAACTGAAAATTAAAAAATCATACTGATGGCGAAAATGCCCAGGCTGTAGAAAGAACCAAAGTTAATCCCAAAAGCCAAAGCTCAGGGTTATAATTTATTATTTTCTTCTTATTTATGTTTACGTTAATATTCACTTACTTAATAATATTCACTTATTATCTTAACATTCTATATAAAATACTCTATTCAATAAATATTGTTTGTTTGAACCTCATTCTGTTCTATATTGTTGTACTTATTCTTTGACTGTTTTGTTTAAAGGAGGGAGGATTGTATTGGGAGCACTGAAGTGTCAGGTGTGACTGTGGCAATGGCAAATGGTTTACATAGCTCACGACATCACGGGTCAGGTAGAGGCCCCTTAGCAGAATTAGGCTTAGGGCCCCAGGGGGAGGTCAGGATCGGCACTGGGTTTAGCAGTCGATTCTGTTCCTTACCGGTATTCCTGTTCCCTTTACGCAATCATATTACAAATCACGCGTAGTTGCCCAGATGAGCAAAAAGCACCATTTTTTTTTTATTATTATTATTAGAAGCGAGTTTTCCCCCATCTGTCAATTCACTCCAGATTATTTATTTAAATAATAATAATAATAATAATAATAATTAAAAAACAATAAACAATAATATGAGGAACTCTTTTTCTCATGTGTATTTTGGTGACATTTAACATATTGTTAATACATTTTGTATACTGTTTACAAAGTTGTATATCATAAACCTGTCATCTTTGACGTTTGCAATCTTAATAAATAATAATAAGACCATAATATGAGGCATTGCGTCGTTTGGACATAAACACGATCAGATAAGGCCATTTGTATGGGCAAAATTCAACTGAATATATTCCTTCATATAGCCCGTGAGTTTTGGGGGTAAAGCCCTTTTTTCAGGTCAGAGCAACTGCCCCACAAAATTCCTGTGCACGTCCCTGACAAAAGCATTAAAATTCAGTTTTGTTTGATATTGGCAGCTGTTTGGCGGGATTGCTTTATGGTGGCAAAATCTCTCTCTTTATTTCAATTCACTGTACTGAAAGGCTTAACAGGTAGTCTAATGTCTACTTCTAATTTATTACGTTAACAGTTAAACTAATCAAGAGCATTATAAAAGTAGAAATGTGTGCATATGACATGATAAAATGTTAATTGTATTTTTGACCAGTTTTAAAGTTTCAGTACATTTTTGCTGCTGAACCTTCCACTGGGATCAGGATAATCCTGTTTTTTTTATCATAGGTAGCCTACCCCAATCTTACTATAAAAAAAAAAAAAAAAAAAAAAAAAAAAAAAAACTGACGATCTAATCCAGATCAAAACCATTTTTTTCTTTTTGTTTTGAACAACCCATTTTCAAGATTTAACCCAATCCGTTCACCGAAATCCGATCAGATTAGGCTATACTGTAAACAACTGGCCCCAGAACATTCAAGGGCTGAAGAGATCGATTTTGGTTATATTGAGATTTTCACAATTTAGTAATAAAAACATAGTCATTTATTTTGTGTTAACAGAAATTACAATTACAGCTCTGGATGTAAGCATTTTAAACTATCTACTTGCTGTCTTGATACACAACCTATTTGATTTTGTTTTTTAAAATAATAATGTGTCTTTAAACTGTCTAGAAATAAAGAAAACAGAGCTTGGTTCAATCCTTAGGACCCCAATTTATTTGTAGGCTTGGACTATGTCCTTATGGTGTCATTTTATTTGAGCTTTTTTCTCTCCCCCTTTTTAAATAGTTTGAATTAGTTTTTATTTTTGTATTTTCTGTTTTCCATTTTAGGGTAAGTTTAAGGAATTTTGTGTTTTTGTCACTTTTATTAAAAAGGTTTTATTTTATTTTTATTTTTTTAGTAAATCAAGTTAAAGTAAATTAAAAGAGAAATTTGCAGCTTTCACTTTCAATTCTCAAATAACTTTTCTCCAATTGGATCTGCATAAGCAGCTTCTACAATTAGTTAATGCTGCCCTCGTGTGGAGCACAGACAAATAGACAGAAATTAGATGAGAATAATTTACAGTCAATGATGCGATTTTAGTCCAGATCTGTCATAGTAGATAATTTTATAGTATTTTTATTGATTATTTTCTTTTCTTTTCTATTCTATTCTATTCTATTCTATTCTATTCTATTCTATTCTATTCTATTCTGTTCCTTATTTTGGTGAAGCTACTTTTACTATAACTTGAATATATAACTTAATATTCAAGGAAACTGTTGCTGCGGCAAGTTAAATCACTCATCACAAAATTTACATGCAGTGCATCATCCAACATTGTTCTTTCAGACAACAGTTTATTGAGTTATATGAATTATATGATTCAATACGTCAGGCACCTCGAGTTATATAAAGTTCTAGACAGAGTGAAGTAACAGACATTGAAAACTATGCACATACTTACATCCTGGAAACACTTTTCTCTTCCTACCCTGTCAGTAAGAGTTCATGTAGGCTTAACAGCATGAAACCAGACACTCCCAGAAGCCCTGCATCTCTCTGTCTGGAGAGGGACATCCCACAGAGGGAGACCTAGAGGGGATGAAATCACAGCAACATAAGAGGGTCCCGTGTCACAGCCGTGGTGATCCATACATGCAAACAGATACCGGATGAGTAGGAGTCTACTGCACTCCTGCTGTGTTGTCTTATGCGACTCACTAAAGGCTTCTGGTATTTACACCAGAGCTGAACTGACAGACGGAGCGTGGAACGGGGATTTAGATTGAACGTTTAATAGGAGGTGAGGTTCAGACAGAAAGTTGATCAGTTGCAGGTCAGAAAGAGAAAGTGGTTACTGGATTTGGGTTTAATTCACTTCTCTATATCTTCTGTATACACTGTTTTCTTCTGTCTGGATGTTTATTTTGAGCTTTCAGTGAAGTTATGGACATGCACTAATCTGCAAACTTAAATAGTCAAAAATAGATATTCATTGATATCTTAAAATTTGTATTAAATGATTATTCTTCTGGTGAAATCAGGTTCTGCCTATTGTGCAGGCAAGAATGTGCATTTCCTTCAGCCTGAGGCTTTTTCATTTCACTTACGGTGAGAAAGCGAAGGGGTCTTTACATTTGCCTTTTTGCTTTTAAAAAACAAACAAGCCCAGCCCAGCTGAGAAAAAGTAACCTAAAAATAACACATTACTTTCTAAAAAAGTAATTAAGTAACACAATTAGTTGCTTTTTTAGGGAGTTAAGCAATATTGTAATGCATTCCTTTTAAAAGTAACTTTCCCCCAACATATTTATCCATAGTTTATTCCTTCCATCTGGAGCAGGAGGTTCAGGACTGAGCGAACAGGTGGATGCTGCTTCTTCTCTTTTAAACTGGTGTTACTGGTGTCTGCTCCAGACGCCTGAATATCAGGGGTTAAACGGCAAGCAGTTGCTGTTCATAGCAAAACAAGACATAAGGTGTTTATCCTTAATAATTCCCTTGATCTTTTGAAACTCACAAAGACAGAGAGAGGGCTGTCTAGTGAAATATAACAAATGTCTAAACAGGACAAAATGGATTACAGTTACAGAAAATTGTTACAGTTGTTTTCTCAATCATAGTTGGCGATTAAGTGAAATGTGTAATATTTTTAATTCTCCCGTCGCAGATTAATATGCAGAGAGACAACTAAGAAATGTTTTAGTTGATTGCTCTGAAACGTTTAAAACTGTAGTTCAAAACATTGCTGAGTTTATTTGACCAGCAACATGGCATGAGCCATATAGGACGGGACAATCTGTTTGGCTAAACAATGGTAGACGGGTAAAACATACATACAAATGTAAATGAGACAAGTTTCCAGAAGTGTCCAAATTTGTCCATGGGAATGCGGTCTCTGAAATTTCCTCCATCATCTCCTCAATTGTGAGCCAACAGCTTTATGAAAGTTGCAGGACCGGCCAGTTTCACGACATAGACAAACAAGATCTTACTACCCTCTTAAAAATAAAGGTTACAAAATGAGATTTTCGCAAACAATATCATAGAAGATCCATTTTAGGTTTATATCACTCCATTATCAATTTTATCACTCACATGACATCACAGCAATATTCAAGTAAATCAAGTACCTCACAACATTTTTTCTTGTCCGGATTTGGGTTTAATTTTTAATTTGGGTTTAAAAAACAGTGCCTAAATCTCTAGCTGAAAAGTTTGAGAACATGATTATGAGCTATAAACTGTTTACTGGTTCTCATCAATGTTAACATGCTAATACCATGCATCTGTCTCAGGGGTTTGGCTTGTGAACACTTAAGCTTTCCTGTCCTTGTTTGGAGGATGATGATGATGGGATGGACCAACCCTCTTGATGCAGTCGAGGAGCATTGAGGAGGGTATAAATCTTCTCGTTCCTGTTTCCCATCACACCCTCCTGCTCTTCATCTTGGTGGAAGAATGGCTCCTAAAAAAGCTGAACCGAAGAAGGAGGCAGCAAAGCCAGTACCCCCTCCTGAACCAGAGAAACCCAAGGAGCCTCAGTTTGACCCAAAAAGCATCAAGGTACGTACACTTACGGCTTTGTCTGTATTGCAATTTTACTAACAGCTCAGTGTTAGAACATCATGAGAAACATTGGAAAAACCTGAAGTAACTTCTTCCCAAATATCGTGAGGAGGTAGACCTGAAAGACAATTAAGGACACAGAGCTTATTTCTTCCTTTCACACACACAAAAAAATAACATTTAGGTGACAGTTTTGATCTTGTGTGTTATAAAACATTCCCACATTGATGTCTTATTGAGTTAAAAACCTTCAGATATTGATTGGTCTAACCTTGTTATATACATTATGTGTCCTAAACAATATCATGGCTCAAATCAATGAATAAGGTTCAAATGTTTCAGACAAACGTCTCAGCTAAGTGCCTGTGTGAAGACATTATTCAAACTGATCAGAGACCACATATGCAACTTTAACTAACCTGATGGTCAGAGATGGGTCTGACTATGGAGAGTGGAAGCTTGTCTGAGGTCAGAATGAAAGAGCCTCCATGTGGTCATACGGCCTTCCAAGCTGGTGTCTTCCATATTACAGCTTAGCATTCCTGTTCTCTTGTCTCTCTGTCCGGTGGACAAAACGGATGGGGTTTCACTGTAATTCCCTCTGGTCCCAGACGTTTGTTATTCTTAGTCTACATGAGTGGGGGAACAGCTGACTTTTGTTGAATGGCCCCAGAAAGCTTTGTTTTGGAATTACAAACATCTGTATTTCCATTGTGATTGGCCATTGTAAACTGCATTTATAATACTGTTTGGAGGGAAAAAAATCCACTTTACCATTATTAATCACAATGCCAATCAATCAAGTTCCTTATAAAAGTTCCCTAAAATCCTTTTTTTAACCCTCCCTAGGTTGAGTTTACAGCTGACCAGATTGAAGGTAAACATTTGCTAAATGAAATATACCTAAATAGATTTTTCATATCTCTTCCTCATAAACAATACAATATCGTAATATCCTATCCACACAGAATTTAAAGAGGCCTTCATGCTATTCGACAGAACACCCACTGGTGAAATGAAGATCACTTACGCCCAGTGTGGTGATGTCATGAGGGCGTTGGGTCAGAATCCTACAAATGCTGAGGTCATCAAAGTACTTGGCAAACCCAAACCTGAGGGTGAGAGAAATAAACTGTGCTTTGGCCGTAGGCTAAACGTTGCACAATTAAAATGAATATTTTTTTTAATGTGTTTGCAATACCCATTTTCTCTAGAAATGAACACCAAACTGATAGACTTCGAGACTTTCCTGGCTATGTTCCAACACGTGTCCAAGTCCAAAGATCAGGGCACGTTTGAGGACTTTGTTGAGGGCTTGCGAGTCTTTGACAAGGAAGGAAATGGCACTGTAATGGGTGCTGAACTTCGCCAGGTACTTGCAACGTTAGGTAAGTACAAAACAATACAAAAAAGCTCAATTACTAACATAAGCATAAAATCTGTGTTTGACTGGTATTTACATATTTACCTTGAGATTAACACCAGAAACAAGCACCCACAGTGTGTCACATGTCTTGCCCGCAGGTGAGAAGATGACAGAATCAGAGGTAGAACATCTAATGGCAGGACAGGAAGATGCAAACGGCTGTATCAACTATGAAGGTCTGATCATTTTTTCCATTTGAAAAGCTGCAAATTACTTAGCTTATTATATACCATATAATACTCCCATTCAAAAAAAAAAAATGTAAATAGTTTCATTCAGCAAGAATGTATTGATTTTAAGTGACAAAATACATTTAAATAAAAAACAGTTATTTTAAATTGTAATAATATTTCACAATATTTTAATGATTTTTACTGTGATCAAATAAAAGCAGCCTTGATGAACATAAGAGACTTTTTTCACAAACTTAAAAAAATCTTACCCATATTTGTCTATGATCTATCTGCGCTTTCCAGTGGTAGATGATAATCTTGTCTTTTCATCCTTTTCTCCCACAGCATTTGTTAAACATATCATGGCTGGGTAAAACAATAAGGTCAGTGGTGGTTATGAATTTTAAATGGAATGACATCCACATTTACTGTTGCAAAAGGAAATGAGAAAGAATCTGATTGTCTTCTCTAACATTTCCCCCCTACTAATGAGACTGTCCTTTGCAGTTCTCAACAGTCCTTCACCCCAGCTCTCTTCTCTCTAATGCCCTTAACTAGTTTTCCTGTATGAGATTATGTCTTTGATTTGTTTGTGTGTGATTTTACAACCAATGCATTTATTTCCAAATTTGTTGGTTACTGAAACTGCTTGTAACATAGGCAACAGATCTTTTCACATGAAATGATGTCATTGATTTTTATGTGTCAGTGCTCACACTCACAAAGTCTAAAACTCACTAGCAGGTGGTATAAAAAATAAACAAACATCAAAATTAAAATTGACCTCACCCCAACCGCCTCTGTTGAAACTTCACTTTCTTTTCAAGACAGCTGCAGAGAACTCTCAATGTGTAGATTTCCATTTAAAAATGGATTACAACAACAGCTGGAAGGAGAAAAGACTCTGACTCTCACAAGCATCAATGCAAATTAAAGATTTACAAAGCCAGGATAAACAACAAGAGGAAATTCACATTATATTTATAAAAATTGTAATGGTTTCTGGGAAAGCACATTTCTTAGATCCTCTTGATTTGATTCTTGATTCTTGATTTTAGGTTGAAGCAATTTGGTAAATGCTTTTAAGTGAGGTGTGTATAAATGTGGCATCATAGATGGGATATGGATGGATTAAATCAAATTAAACCATGGCCTATCCGCACACGTGCCAAGGGCACTAGACCAGAGGGGGGCCCAGACAAGCTACGGAGCACCTGGGGGGCCTTTATACAGGACTGTACAGCGATATAATCCATCCCTGGTCTGAATACTCGATTCTGATTGGCTGGAAGGTGTGCATTGAAACCATTTAATGCACAGGTAGTTCCAAATCAGTTTATTCTCTATTCATTTGCTGCTTTCATTTAAGCACACACTCACACTCTCTCACACACACACTCTCTCTTACACACACACTCTCGCTCTCTCTCTCTCTCTCTCACACACACACACACACACACACACACACACACACACACACACGTCACTCGCACACAGAGATCGCTCTGCAGACACACAAAAACATTCAGGAGCACAGAACTAGTTGTCAATGCTGCCCTGTGACTAGCTTCACTACTGAATCAATACATTATATTACTTAGCAAGGAGGTGGTGGTAACATCATGGTTTTAGAAGTAATTAAACTCACAGCTTTATAGAGACACCGCACAGACGCAGGTAATTCACACGCACCTCTCTCTCTCTCTCTCTCTCTCTCTCTCTCTCTCTCGATGGGATAATTTATTCAAATGGGTGTTATAATTCAATCAAATATGTAACCTTTTCGTTTAAAGCGGACAGAATGCTAGATTTAACAGGTAGAAGGAAGCTTTAAGATGACAACGACTGCTTTAACTTGCTAGCCATACATTAATCCTTTGGGGTCAGTTAGATTTTTTTAAAGAAATGATTTTATTCAGCAAGGATGTATTGATAAAAAGTGACAGTAAAGACTTTTACATTGTTACCAAAAAATTCCATTTCAAATAAATGCTGTTCTATTCAATTTTTGATTCCTTACGATCCTTATCACGGTTTCCACCAAAATATTAAGCACCTCAACATTTTTCAGTTTTCAACATTGATAATAATAAATGTTTCTTGGGAATACATAAATGTTTTAAATCAGAATATTAGAATGATTTCTGAAGAATCATGTGACACTGAAGATTGGAGTAGGCTATTGATGTGGAAAATTCAGCTGCTATCATTGCTAGCAAGCTTCATGGGAATACTTGTATTACTTTGTATTTGATTCTACCAGAATGATCATACTGGTTTTCAGCAGATGCTCACCCAGCTTACAGGGAATGTTATTAAAATTTGGGCTAACATTTTGTAAAAGGTTCTCTGAAAGTTATGAACAAATGTCCGTTTAAAACAAGAGAGCGTGTCCAAGGTGTGATACGAGACACATGAAAGTAGTGCCATTATAAGGACATAACATCTGACCACTGGATGCCTCGATTGACCGATCAGAATCAGGTAGTCTCTTCAAGAGTGGCTAGGGGAATATAATGAAGAACAGTTTGTCTGTACACACATGTGGTTATGTTACAGACAGCTTATTCTCATGGATTAGTGATGGACATCATGTGTGGGTCCACAGCTGACAAGTGTTAACTTACAGACCAGAACAGCTCTCCATTCAAAGGCTATTGTATTTTCCCTGTGTGTCCTTGTGGGTCATGGCAACGGAGATGCTGTCATTTGTCTCCTTTATTGTTGGGCTGTGGGACGCAAGTATCTCCTTTGATTTTTCAACACAATGATGCATAAATAGCAGCTTCAGCTATGTCCCGATTGAGAAACACTGAGGCAAAGCAGGTCATTGTGTTACTGACACATGGAGAGGGAAGACACACAAAACACAATCTATAAGCAGCAGTATAAGAAGGGATTCTTCTCTGTATCACTGTGAAGATTTTCATGCCAAATATACCTACAGCTGCTGCCAGAAATAAACTGCTAATTCCTGTTTGTTTCCAGGATACCTTTAAAATCACAGTTGGAATAACAATGTTAAATTCATTTGGTCTGACTGGGGCCCTCTAAACTAACATATAGTCATAGTGTAGGGCCTATTATTCTCATAAAACAGATTGGCAACAACACCAAAAAAAGAGCATGACGCCAATCACCCCCTTTCTGTACCTAATCGGTGGAGCTAAAAGGTCCAACCTTTATATTGCAGTATTTATTATAAATTATTTATCCATGCACACCTTTTTTTTTTTATTCATGTGCCCTCATAATCTTTAATTAAAATAACTTACCCTCCCACTTGCAGCAACATCTCATCTCTTCTCTGATTACGTGTTTACTGGCGTGAGCACTACATTTTTTCTTGTTTGTGAAGCCGTTTCATTCAGATATACATCACAACAGAAAAAACTATCGCAACGTCCGTTTCATGGCGACTTTAACAAAATAATTAGGTTAAGCTCTTCCCCTTTAGATCGTGGACTAGGTCAAGCTCCCATTTGACATTTTTGATTAAGTAATTCACGACTGCTAAAAAAAGTATGTTCCATATGTGTGTATAAATGTAATTTGGACGTACTACATTCGCCATGCTGTCATTATCATGTGAACAATATCATGTGAAGTTATGTCGCTTCACCTTCATTCATAAATCCCCTCTCATATTTAATAAATAAATAAATAAAATAAATAAATAAATAAATCCCCTCCCATGGCCTAATGTTATAGTAAGGTGTCCAAGTGTCCAATCTCGCCGGAAGAAGTGGTCATCCGGGTACTTTTTGCCTACTCTACTCTACTCTGTGAACTCAGACATAGGCCTACCTTTCGTCATCACATGTTTTTTGCCTACTATAGTAGGGAAGTAGGCAATTTTGGATGCAGCCAAAAACTACTGACAACTGAACTAGTGTTATCTTACTATTATCTTGTTCTTGTTTTGCTATAGTGGAGACAGGGCTAGTTGTCACATTTCCATACGGCTATACGGTATAGACACACCTTAAAACAGAACACACAAAACAAAACAAAACTATTGACAGTTTCCTAATATAGCCTATTGCCCTGGAAAAATATCACACACTGATCTAATAGTGGGGCATCACAACTTTTTTTTTTTTTTTTTTTATAACTAAATTTGAACAGTAATGATGAATTATGAACACAAAATGATTATGTAACAACAAAAATGTTGTAACAAAAGTTGTAATCATTAAATTACATACAATTACAACATTTAAGACGGATGTGACAGCCTATGTAGGCTACTATTACAAAAATAGGATGATATTACAATATTTTATTACAGTTTTAATTTAAGAGGGGTTTTGGACTACAGTAAGTAAAACTAGCAAATGCATTGTTAGAAAAAATAAAAATGTTAATATGTATTTTATTTCTCATTAGACCAATGTGCATTCATTAATATCAAATCAAGTAATGTTATTAAAGTCAGATTTTTACTGAATTACAAAAATCTGTGACAACCCTTTCTGAGAAAGTTCACGTAACTGTCACATTGACAGGGCTGAGACGCCATCTAGTGGCCAGAAGGGTTTGTGACACCCAGACTTTATCTTCTGTAGGAAAGAACCATCACTTGAAACATTAAAGGTTGATGTATCAACGCATATTGAAATAAAGAGATGAAGAGAGGAATAAATCCAACACAGGAAGACAAGTCAATACAACAAACATTATGAGGCCATTAGAGCTGCCTGTCTCTCTCTCATAGACACACCTCAAAATGTACGAAAAATGCCTACTCATTCTCAAGCCGGCTGGTTGCTGAGCAACTCCCACCCAAGCCCAACCTCAACCAAGAGCTCTATTGGCTTTCAGACGAGCATCTCACACAGCTGAAGAACACAAGGACACTGACAGCATCAACAGCATTGCTCTTTTTCATATTCTAAAAAAATCTATATGTTTTTTGCAAGTAAGAGATCAAGATTACTTGCTTAGCAGGGAGGAGAATTTACATTTGATATTGCAATTTCTGTCTTTTGGGGGAAAACACCAGCAGGTTGTGCAGCGGTTAAACGGAGGATCTCTTAAGACACAAGGACTGTTTATGTGAAGGTGTCCAGGTAAAGGACTTGGCTTGGTATGTAACTCTGGAGAATATGGCGGAATTTGGGGGAGCAGATGGTGCAATGTGTGTGTGTGTGTGTGTCATGCATGTTTGAGAACAGACTGTGAAAATATATGGGACTTGTTCATATAAAACATACTGTTTATAAACAGAAATGTTGCTGAATTAATATTACGATGCAGTGAATAAGCCAGAATCTGAAAGTGCTGGCACAGTCAAACTGACCCAAAACGTTTAATGGAGAACACAGTTAAAATAACCGAAGAGCTAATGTTGTATACAAATTCCAGGACAAAAAATAAAATGGTTATTCTTTTTTTGTCTATAATCACAAACATTTTAAATACACACTAATGTGCAAAAGTCTTAGGCACGGTAGTATTTATTTTCACAAAAAAAAGAAAAGTTTTTAAGTCAGTAATTTATATTTTTTGCTGTAGTGTCAGTAGGAAATATCAGTTTACATTTCCAAACTTTAATTTTAACATTATTTGTAATAATCCAGATTTTTGTATGCACATGGAGTCTGACAACAGCTGGTATGATCTGTTCTCACCATCATCGAGTCTGTCTGGGATTACATGAAGAAACAGAAAAAACTAAGACAGACTAAATCCAGAAGAACTGTGGCAACGTCTTCAAGACGCTTGAAGAAACCTTCCTGGAAAGCAATAGTACTGTGAAAGGTTTTAGGCACTTGTGTAAAAATGCTGTAAAGTGAGGATGCTTTTAAACATAATGTAATAAATAGATTTTATTTTATCAATTAACTTCTATTAACTAAATCAAATCAATATTTGGTGTGACCTTTGCGTTTAAAACAGCTTTTGTCCTCGGTACACTTGCTCATAGTTTTTAAGGTAGCTTTGCAGGTAAGTTTCTTCAAGCGTCTTGGAGACGTTGCTGCAGTTCTTCTGGATTTAGTCTGTCTCCGTTTTTTTCTGTTTCTTCATGTAATAACTGATTGACTCTGTGATGGTGAGATCAGATCTCTGTGTGTAGGACATCGGCTGTTGTCAGACTCCTTGTGCATATGAAAATTTCACTGGATTATTACAATTAAAGTTTTGAAATGTAAACTGACATTTCCTATTGAAACACTACAACAAAAGCCATAAATAACTGGCTTAAAACCACACAAAAATACTAGTGTGCTTAAGACTTTTGCACAATACTGTATATAACATGATTTATGTTTAGCAAAGGCGCTTGCATAGATATATCATTTAGGGAACTATATGGAATGAAAGCATCTGCCAAGAGCACAAACAAACAAATTTATTGATCACTCAAATATGAGCTTTGGAATGGCCTCGTCTGGCATTTATGACCACATTTAAGTGTAATCACATCAGCAAACTTTAACTTAACTAAAAAGTTTTGAACAAAATCTTAATCATGAATCAACTGAGGTCTGGGAACTTCCAGGGAGCTGCTAAGGGATGAGCCTACCACCCCCCCCCCCTTATTATATTATTGTTCTAATATCGATTCGAATGCAGACATTGTCAAATAAGATACAATAAAATACAGCATTCGGTTGTGTGTAAATATCATCGAAATGTCAGCTTCAAGTTCTGGTTTATCCTGACTGACATCATTCTCGCTCTTGCTCTCTAGCGCCATCCTCCCTTTGCAGGACGCGGAAGGATTTGTCAGGGTTTGCTCACTGGCTGGCTGACTGCTGCAGTTGGACAGACAATAACTCAGTGTGCCACAGAGGTAAGTCAACCCGGTTTACAAACTCAAAGACTTGTATTTAATAGCGATTCATTATTAATCAAGTAATGAAGTAGGTCCATAACCCTTACCACAGTTTTTATCGCTGCAACCAGTGTATTGGTCTTAGGATGTTAAATCCGACTGTTGGGTGTGTGACAGACATTATGGGCCCGCTTTTCTTCATAGACTGATTTTTAAAAAGAAACACTATACATGTCATTTCACTGAGATTGTATCGATAAGTGCACATCCATCTGACTGCTTTCTTTATTCATTTGCATCTACCGGTAACTTATTTTCATGGATGCACAATATGGACAATAATCATTTATTTTCATTTAAAGAATATTACATTCCACTTTATTTGTCTTTTTTAAATGACGTGCGTCGCATCGTAGAAACCTCGAGGCATTGTGGCGATTCACGCATGCAATGCTTCACGTGCACGCCGGTGTGGAAAACCCTAGAAGTATGAGACATTGATGGAACATAATGTGGCTTACACCGGTGTGTTAACTCAGTCTGGATGAAAGGTGCCAGGGTTTTCTAGAGATCTTTTGTGGTCATAACCATTGACAAATCGATAATCGGTTGCTTTTGCGCCCGGACCTGATCCGTCTGAAAGCGTTAAACGCACTCGACGTGTCGCTGATCCTCCGGTGTAAAGGGATTTTCGCAGTTTGCTCCATGTTGAAAATGGTGCTGATGTTGCACGTGTATGGTTTGTCAGGGTTTCTATAGAATCTGCAAGAATCCCTTATCTGTAAATGTAAACTGATTTTAAAGCGCATATCTTTATGAAAGAACCCCCCGAATCATACGGGAACACCGCTTATTAGATGCTGACCTTACATTTGTAACACCATGGGGCTTTTGTCTGGGCGACTCTGCAAATACAAGTCTTTCGAATAATAATAATAATAAAACATTTTATAGTGTGACATTACACAAAAATACTTTTTCTAGGCTAATGGAAAACCTGGATCTCAACATTTAATACATTTTCTCTGTTCTATTTTGTTTTACTTCAGTTTACAATGAATAAATTATAAAACATGAAAACAATATTTTTTGTTCCATTTTTATAATTTGTATGATGAGGATGGATGAGGATTTTCAAGGCAGCGGACACACCTTGCTCCCCCGCCCTTCCCGTCTCTCTCTCTTTCTCTCTCTGGCTCGCGCTCTCTCTCTCGCGCGCCCTTTCTCTCTATCACATCACGGCCGTTGCTCTGCCACACTCTCATCATCCGCGCCCATTGTAAGTACTCTCTTTTTTGAAAATAAACATTATAATTTTGAAAAGCTTTACTGTAGCGTTTGGAACGTAACGGTCGAAATTCACGTCTGCATCTTCTTCAGCACTTCCTCCCCCACGCCCATCTCTGCTGCACACGCCGGGCCTGTCTTTAGCCCAACGACACTGTCGCTTTCATTTTTATATCCTAATATTTAAAGATTACGAAATGACATCTGCGGGTGGTATTTCACCATGGCTTTATAGTGGAGTTGGTATTCTGTCGGCGAATGTATACCTGTCTGTGCATTATGCATATCATAACACGTGACAAATCTAGATTAGCTAAACCTTACTAGACATGTTTGGGTTTTTTTTAGAAGAAAAAAAAAATTCTTGGAAGAATATCTTCGGGTTGTTTTAGCTTCAGTTGGACAAACAGAACAAAAAGGAACAGCAAGGGATGAGAAAAAAGAAACGAGGAGAAAATTCCTCCTGACCAGTTTTGAACACATTTAGAAAACCCAATATTCCAGTAAATCTGACAAACCTTCTTTCAAATTCTAGGTCAACTCACTTTGTAGTTAATACTCCCCAGGTCCTAGATTTCAGTCTGCGGTCTGTAGAATAAAAACAAAAAAGTACATTTTTAAAAGTCTAGATGGAGGGAGTTGCTTTTGCATACAAAAATACAGATGCAAAATTTGCCATTGAAGACTACAACTACAAACATCTTCATCAGTATTATTTTGACGGCAGCTATTGAGACACAGAGATGGAACATTTGGTAAATCTGAGTCAGTTTACAGACCATGCACTGAAGTGTGTGTTTCTCCTGCTGTACAACCGCCTGTTACTCGCTTCAGTTTTACACTGTTGATCTTTTTATAATTTTAGAACAGAGGAGGATGGACTCAGAGGTTAAAAAACAAAATCGCATGCATTTTGCAGAAGAATATTGTTTTGGTTGTGCTTCGGCATCTGTGTGACTGCGGATGAATATGGTTATCCTCCTGCTCAGAAAACATTCACTACTGCTCTTAAGAGATATAACCAGTTTATATGGAAAGGATCTCAAGCTGACTAGCTGAAGACATTACTGTAGCTTTACCTATTAACAGACATGTTACTTCCTTGAAAATAAATTACAGCACAGCTACAACAACCATGAAATGACTCTCACAATAGATAATGCTTTACAATGAACTACATATGGCAATTTATCTGTTCAATAAAATACCCTACTCACCTGTTGAGTAATAAAAACGCATCTCCGTGTCGCTTTTCAAACATTTAAAATCCCTCAGTTCCCGCCATCTCCAAAAAGCCAAGCCGATCTTAATTCTGGTTTCATTACGAGCTCTGCAGTCTTGTTTTTTTTGCCAGCAGACTCTCCTCTTTTTAGCTTAAAAAAAAAAAAAAGAGTTTGAGCTGTAGCTGCTTTAGGTCAACCTTTCTCGCTCGTTGTGACAACTAACCTATGCCTCTCCCAGTAGCCGGAGCAACTTTCCTCTATTTACAGATATGACCAGACGTAAGACGAGGAGTGACGCAAGTATGCAATTTCGGGCAAAAAGCATCCCGCTCTGTCTAAAATATAAACTCTTATAACAGGCTTGCCATTGTGAATCAGGGTAAGACAAAAACACGTTTTGGATACGTTTGGATTGATGGTGTATCGACTTTAATTTTGTACATTTTGAAGAAAAAAAAGTTACATAGTGCACCTGTAAGATAAGATAAAAATGTTGATATATGAAGCTTGCATCTTTCTGAATATTGCTTCTTATAATGACTGCATCATAATTTACCTTAGTTCACTCATTAAAAGTCAGAATAATAAGTAATTTAATCAATATTGTCAATAAATGTTGACCTCTAAAAACATGAATTAAATTAGAGTATGTAGTGATAGACTACGTTTCATAGTCTACTTTGTTAGAGGGTCTCCACAAGGGGGATGTGAGCATTAGGGACCACTTTGATTTGATTAGAAGAGCCATTATCGCCCAATCAGATCTCAGGAACTTCCGGGGATACAATACACATCTGGAGTTACTGGAGCTGCTCATTGTTGGCTACAACATATGACAATCCAGATTCAACATGTTTTTTTCTGCTTGAAGACAGTGAGACAGTGTCTCTCTGGTCTGGTAGGCCAGATCTCATGCAGTGTGCACTGCAGTCCTGAACTCCCTGATCCACCATGGCAACAGATGACTAACTTCCTGTGTGCAGCGGTCTTGAACACACACACACACGCACGCACGCACGCACGCACGCACGCACGCACGCACGCACGCACGCACGCACGCACGCACGCACGCACGCACGCACGCACGCACGCACGCACGCACGCACGCACGCACGCACGCACGCACGCACGCACGCACGCACGCACGCACGCACGCACGCACGCACGCACGCACGCACACACACACACACACACACACACACACACACACACACACACACACACACACACACACACACACACAAACTGATTTCATAGAGTTAATACATCTTGTATTCTCTATATTGAAGCCAGTTGAATAGTTTTGTTGCTGGATGTATATCATCAGATTGACATTTTCCTCTTCATGCCAGCATCTGTTCACGTAAATGCCAACCGTCCTTTCTGGGGACTGAATATTTTCTTATGCTAAGTGGATCATGCTGTTATCGGCAGCAATTTCGTCTGGCACCATGACCATTATTTCAACTCGACCAGAGTCGGCACACACAAACACACACTGACTGCTCTGCCAGTCAGTTAATTTAATGTCCAGATTCAGTTCAGTGAGGTGTGATCCTGAACTCTTGAGGAGAGTCTGGGCTGCGGGTCCAGAAACCACATGGCAGATGGGAAGGTTCTGTCTTTCGGTTAGATCAAGGACATCTCTGCTGTTTGAGCAAGTGTGATCACACAGCTCTGTTTATGCAGAAATGAGGTTTAATGCATTCTTATGATACATGTTATTTAGATTCTCTTTGAGAATGACTTTATTAGTCCTAATAATATCGTTATGTGCAGTTTGGTAAGATTAAATAGAATCTGATAAATCTTGTATGATGCTTCTCTTAAAGGGATAGTTCACACAAAAATTTTAATTCCCATAATTTACTCACTCATGTCGTTTCAAACCTTTATGACTTTCTGCCTTCTGTGGAACTTGAAATGTAAATATTTGAAGAATATATTGTCTACTTTGTTACATAAAGTGAGTTAGGGATCAAGATCCAAAATCACAAAAAAGCATCATGACTCATCATGACATGCACTATATTCCAGATCTTCTCAAGACTTAAACTGCACTTAGTCTGCACTGTAAAAATAATAATATTTTTCAAGTCAAATAAAACAAACAAAAACAAGTCTTCTTTAAAATTTCATTTCATACTTGCCGTTTCTTATTCTTAGTACTAATTATTTGTGACAAGCAAAATCTAAATGAAAACTGTTTCAAAGTAAGTTCTACACCATTTTTTTTTACAGTGTATCTAAAGAACATACCAACTTTTAATTATTTATCATTATTTATTCATCATTATTTATTGTGCCATAGCCTTGGTGTGTTCGTTAGACAGCGATATTAAATTTGTGAACAAATCATTGTTTTAAATTCAGTGAATCAATTGATTTGTTCAAGAATCGGACGGATCTAGTTCTCACTAACTCAATGATCCATTCCCACTTGATATCAGTTCACTGGAGAGAAAATGAATAGTGAATAACCATTTTCCTCACACAAAGCCATCATTT